GTCCTCAACCTTCTGTCTCATGTAATTTCAGTCAGCTGACACATGATCCTCCATGCCAGGATGATGAACTATCCAGCATCTTCTCTCTCTGTCTCCCTCTGTCTCTCTGTCCTTATACATCCCTCCAAAACTTCACTGGGATAAGTAAAGTAAAAGAAAAAAATAAATGACAGCTCTTTTTTAACACCACCATCACCACCACACCCCCCCACCCCCAACCTTATGCTGTTTCCACAGTGGAGGTTGACTGCGGTGCTTCACTACTGTCTTCGGGAATATTACCTAGTCTACCCCAATCTCTTCCACAGGAGAATTATGCAACTGTCTGGAAACCACTAGCCACAGGAATCAGAGGCTGATATGTCAAGGCCTGGATTGTGAAACAGTTTAACCATAGCCATAGAGCCACACTTTTTATTTTAGCTTGTTTTGGCTGTTCCAAACAAGAAAAAACATCAAGGAAAAATAAATGGAATAACTTGGCCCTTGTAGCTGTGGCTAAAGTTGACACAAAATAAGAATTCATTCATGAGGAAAATTGTGGGTTTTTTCCTTAGCAGTGAAAAAGATTAAAGGAATCTGCATTTATATACGTCCTTTTGTACAGCCAACAACCCAGAAATAAAGTGATTGCAGCACGCAAGTTAAAAGAGAACAAAAGGTGAACAGTAGCAGATGGTATTTGGTTCTGGAAAACATGAAAGAGAGCTGTGTAGCATAGAAGTGAAGGCAATGGCTTTTGAGCATAGTAGGGAAAGGAACTTCATTGTTATCTTCATTGTTATGCAGAAATAAAGAGGCACTGTAGCATAGTGATTAGTAGCTGCTAGTGTGCTTACTAATCATAATCAACTCAGTAGTCTGGGTTCAGATGACTACCCCCTCCCCCAAACCCCTTGAGTCTTTACAGAGGTACCTCAAGGATAAGAAGTGTGGGGTGGGGGGGGGGGGGGGGGTGGTTTGAAGAAGAGGAGATGGAACATGAAAAAAAAAAAACAGCAAGAAGAAATAGAATAAAAAGAAAGCCCATTTATGAGACTGTTGACTCCCAGGTCCATGAAGTCAATTATTTCTACCTGCAGGAAATCATGACCAATTTTTCTTGTACTGAGAAATGTTTCCAGCAAACTTGTCAGTTTCCAAGTGTTGCAAAAGAACACAACAATCAAGCATGATGAACTGGTTTCAGAGGGGCCACATGAAAATCAATGACAAACGCCACATAGGCAGTCCCTTTGTCATGTTAACATGGAATCTTTGGACTCCTTGCAATCAATATTGAGACTGTTTGTCATATTATTGATTGTCTCTTGATATTAACTCAGAACAAAATTGTATGAGGTTAGAAGACCGGAGGCTTGTAATAAGATGTTTTTCACTGCACCTCCCTGTGAGTTTTTATGTTGAAGTTAAGAGTAGAGAGGATTGACTTCATTGCACCCGGTTTTATCCCATACTGCGCAGTCTCTCTTTTGGAGACGGACTAGCTGCCTGCCAGGAGCATCTCACAGAATACATACGCTGTAGTTCCAGTGACAGTCCCTATGGATCTACATAAAAACATTAGCCATGAACTAAATTGTTGTTGAAATAAACCCATGAATTTTGTTTGTTACTTTCTAAAATATTCTGTTCAGTACACTTGTAATTTGCTGAACAAAAGCAGACACATTTTAAGGGGGTGAGGCACTTAGACTTGTTTAAAGTAAGTAACAAGTTAAGGACTCTTTTCCCTGCCTTCAAGCGTTTTGAGCATTTAGGGCTAGAACTATATTTTTTAGACCAGTTGTTACTTGGTAGGTGGTGTGGTCATCATCACGCTGGCCGCCTTTACTGTCCAGGACTGCACCTGCTACCCACTCATGACTGGGTTGAACTAGGAACCAAGGTCAGTTTTGAAAAAATCTGGCTCCATCAGGACACGAAACTACGACCTTCCGATCAGCAGGAGAGCATCTAGCCACTATACCACGGTGACTGTACATGAGACAGGAGGTGTAGATAGACATGAATACCAGCACCACATGGCATGAACTATAGAAGTGGTCTCCAACCCTTTTTCAGGCTGCATTTTCAGATATATATGCAAGACCTCAAGCTTTCCCTGAGTATATGGCACAACCCCCCCTCCGCCACCCTCATGCTCCCCCCCGCGCTCCTCACACTCCCCTTAAGGTCCTTGGGACATGGAAATGGCAGAATGTAACATCTGCATGTGAGCCAGTTCTTGAAAGTAGAATTTATTTGTTTGACACATGGAATAATAGGTCGTAGGTCATGGAAACAATAGCAACCACAACCGTTTCAGAGAGTGTAAATGAAATGACAAATAAAATAAATTAGAGATAATATTTTTCCGACTTTATAGATATTAAAGTTAGTTGTATTTCCTTTACATGACATTGCAGAACCAACCCCAGCCATTTTTCAGCAATAAGAACATCAACTAGTAGATTATTGCACAACCAAGGTTGGAGGGGGGGGGGGGGGGTTAACAAATCTTTTTAGAGAGAGAGAGAGAGTAGGAGATTCTTTGCAGTCAACCTTCACCTGGATGTTGACACATGATTGATTGAGTTTTACTTGAATAATAGTTTTGTCTTGAATGATAGTTTTCTGTGAATAATGGCATGCCTTGAATGAAGCATGAAATGCAGTGTCCAGTAATCAAGAATTACCCTTGGGCTGAAATCTGAATGTGTACAACAATGAAAATGGTTGTTTTGTCATTTCCAGTTAGCATTGATTTGTTTTAACAAAAATCAGTGGAACATTTCTTTTCAAATTTATTTAAAAAAGAAAAAAAAAACTATTTGGCATTCAGTCATTTTTGAATATAAATTGCTGGAAGGTTAGGGAAAGTTTTGTATATTTTAAAATTGTATGTGACCTCCAGTGCATGAGGAAAATGGTGAACATATAATTATATGAATTCAGGAGGGGTGAAGAAATGAAAGAAATGTCGGGGCCACCACTAGTATCAACTGTTATAAGACAGGGAGATGGGGCTATATTGGACACATTCTGAGAAGAAACGAGCAGAGAATAACCAAACAGGTACTGCAGTTTGAGAGGGATTAAGGGAATAATAAGAGGGAATGAGGACATTGAAGAAGAACTTAATGTTAACGTTGATGAGAAAAGCCAGAAGTGCTGGCCTGGAGTCAGTCCATGATGTCAGAATGATTGCACAGAATAGAAAGGAGAAATAGCCATGTGTAACATACAGTGGCACAATAGGACACTGAATGATTGATTCTGGCCCCTTATCATACACATAGTTTGTATGTTTAATATGATAGTGGTAAGGATGGATGAACTATTACTGTGTAATAAATTTAATATATGTCTGGGACTCAAACCCATACCACAGCCTTGGCAGTCTGCCGCACTGTTTATGCCATTACAGCTCACATAAACTACTCTACTTCACCTCCTCTTCACTTTGTCCATTAGCACAACATTCATCATTTTCTTCTTCTCCTTTTATGCCTAAAGAATACAGATTGACCACTTCAGGGTAAACAGAGCTATTTGAAGCTACATATTTTAAGACTGTTATACTTTAAAAAAAAATATTGTCAATGGTGATCTGTTCTCATAATTCTTCTCTGTTTTCACATAATTCCATTAATCGGCTCACTGCCCAAGATTCACTTATGATTTTTTTTTATTTATCGGCTAGCTGCCCAAGATTCACTTACGATTTTTTATTTATTTATCGACTAGCTGCCCAAGATTCACTTATGATTTTTTTTTTATTTATCGGCTCACTGCCCAAGATTCACTTATGATTTTTTTTTATTTATCAGCTAGCTGCCCAAGATTCACTTACAGTTTTTTATTTATCAACTAGCTGCCCAAGATTCACTTACAGTTTTTTATTTATCAACTAGCTGCCCAAGATTCACTTACAGTTTTTTATTTATCAACTAGCTGCCCAAGATTCACTTAGTTTTTTTATTTATCAACTAGCTGCCCAAGATTCACTTACAGTTTTTTATTTATCAACTAGCTGCCCAAGATTCACTTACATTTTTTTATTTATCAACTAGCTGCCCAAGATTCACTTACAGTTTTTTATTTATCAACTAGCTGCCCAAGATTCACTTACAGTTTTTTATTTATCAACTAGCTGCCCAAGATTCACTTACAGTTTTTTATTTATCAACTAGCTGCCCAAGATTCACTTACAGTTTTTTATTTATCAACTAGCTGCCCAAGATTCACTTACAGTTTTTTATTTATCAACTAGCTGCCCAAGATTCACTTAGTTTTTTTATTTATCAACTAGCTGCCCAAGATTCACTTACAGTTTTTTATTTATCAACTAGCTGCCCAAGATTCACTTACAGTTTTTTATTTATCAACTAGCTGCCCAAGATTCACTTACAGTTTTTTATTTATCAACTAGCTGCCCAAGATTCACTTACAGTTTTTTATTTATCAACTAGCTGCCCAAGATTCACTTACAGTTTTTTATTTATCAACTAGCTGCCCAAGATTCACTTACAGTTTTTTATTTATCAACTAGCTGCCCAAGATTCACTTACAGTTTTTTATTTATCAACTAGCTGCCCAAGATTCACTTACAGTTTTTTATTTATCAACTAGCTGCCCAAGATTCACTTACAGTTTTTTATTTATCGACTAGCTGCCCAAGATTTACTTATGATTTTTTATTTATCAGCTAACTGCCCAAGATTCACTTATGATTTTTTATTTGACTAGCTGCCCAAGATTTACTTATGATTTTTTATTTATCAACTAGCTGCCCAAGATTCACTTCTCATTTTTCACCTATTGGCTGAGTGGCCAAGATTCACTTTTAATTTTTCGTTTATTGACTTGCTGCCCAAGATTCACTTATGATTTTTTTATTTATCGACTAACTGCCCAAGATTTACCTATGATTTTTTATTTATCGGCTCACTGCCTAATATTCACTTTCATAGATCAGGCTTATCAGGTTTTGAATAATTATCTTTCTGCACCTTTAGGTACTCCAAAACTGAACTTGTCAACTTCTGATTGGCTACACAGTCTGGATACATTAAAGGAAAGCATGAGAGCAAGTGGCAATGATTGGCAGAATATTGACACAACACAGTTCCAAGGTAAGCAATGCAGTTCATGCTAAAAGCAATCCAATGATCAATAAACGTAAACACATATTTATTGGCTCCGCTTTCTCTGTCCAGAGGATAGTATTACATTTCAAGAGCCATGGCTGAGTTGTTAGAACCCTCAACTCTCATGCAAGAGACTGAGTTCAAAGCCTCAGTAAGATGATGATGATTTTTTTCTGTCACAGGGAAAAATTGAAACCCCTAAAAATCATTACCACTAAATCCTGACCAGTTCATGGCTGTTTCTTTTCACTGTGTGGAGAGGGAACAGAGATCCCAGAGAAGAGGTTTCAAGAATGAATGAGTAAATGAATAAATCAATCAAGAATTGAAATCACAGTACTTGGGGCATTGTCCACACCTTCTCCCCTTGATTAGTAGCCAGAGAAGAGGTCTCATAATGAAGGTACCAGTTACAGCCTGATTAAAAGTACGCCTGTCTTTTCCCTTTAGCATTATAAACCAAGACTCTCTGTCTATTCATTGCACGGTTCACTTGTTCCCCAAAGACCTTCAACTACGCCCACTTTATTGTAAAGCAGCTTATTGCATAGGGGAGAGCAGCAGCAAATCAGACTGCTTATTACACCCCTCCCTCCACCCCCACATCAAAATGTCCTAGGCATAAAATCCATTATGTGCTTTTGATTTGAGTTGTATCTAGCCACTCTTTGTATTGGACAGCAGTCCCTATTATTATTGGCATGTTCTGTGAGTCTATTACGGTTCTAAAAAGTTGGACTCTGCTACTCTCCAGCTATTAGAAATCTGCAGTCACTACATTTACTTAGGATATTTAATTTTGCCCCCCCCCCCCCCCCCCCCTCCCCAACAGCTTACCGGGGGTCAAACTCGGGTCTCCTGCATGAGAGCCAGACATTGTAACCGATAGGCCAATCGCTGCTCTTGTAATTTAGTAATCTTGCAAAACACGAAATGTCAATCTTATGCATTTTTCCACCGAGGTTGTTTGTGCTAACATGTGTGTTTATGTATGTGCGTGCGCATGTGAAGTTAGGGAATGTGAACATTTAGATGAAGAAACCAGTAAAAGAAGTTTTTCGGTTTTGGACTGAGTATCGGGACATGATTTTCTTCGGCTACAGAATTACAGTATCATTAAAGTTAGTTTGTTGGTTTGTGTAATGTGTAGGCGATTTGAACTCTGCATTAAGTAACCTGGCATAAAATTCCCACTTAAAGGGGGATGTTGTCCACTTATGGCAGCTGTGAAGTTGAATTGGTTCCATAAAGTGAATACCAGAATTGAAAATTGGGAAGTAAAGACAGCATGAGAAAAAGTTGGCCACCTCACCCCACACAGACGATGATGGAGCATATCACAGTCAGAATCACTTCATGTTCGTGTGACAGTACCCACAATATGGTTAACTTTTCTATGTAAAGAAGTGATTAAAGGCATCACGTATATGTATTCCAGTTTTGTTTCTCTGTCATCCTCGATAGATGCTAGCAGCCATGGTTTAACAGCTAAGCTAGACACTCGCCTTCAGATCCAAAGGTCGTTTCAGATCTTGAATCATACTTTTTTTCTTTAAAAATGACATTGGCTCCCATGTCAATCCAGCCTAAAATAGGTACTAGGTAAGCCCAGGGAAATAAAATTGGCCAGCATATTGTCTACCAAATCTGTGCTTTATTAACCCTACCAGACCTGAGGCCCTGAACCTAACTGCCTCCTATACATTCGCATTAACGTGAAAAAAACAACATGATGTACAAAAATATTAGTTATCTGCAAACATAAATGGCTAGAATAAGATGAAACTTGGAGACATTGTAGAAAATAGGTTTACCTTTTATCTAGCGTCAATATTCCACCTTTTTGTGCTAATCCACCCAGCAGAATCAACCTTGTTTCAGAAAGTGAAAACCAGATATTGCTGTTTGAGGGACACGCCCCCTTCTCCTACTTTCGATCTATTTCTCATAGTACGCAAATTCTTGACATTAAGGGACAGTGGTTTAGCGGCAGATTATGAATTTCCCATAATAGTGGGCCAGCGGTCTGGTAGAGTTAATATCCTACCCCAGATGACATCACAGGACAGTCCAACATTTTAGAGGATATTAAGACTGGGTTTCCTGGCTTTCTGATGCTTTTAACTGAGCAATCTAAAACTGACCCTAACCCCAACCCACATAGGTCCCACGAATGCATGCAGCCTATCTACCACCCCCTGAAATATTAGACTGTCCCATGACCTGTAGATTTCCCCATGTTTGGGGTAGGATATTATTAAAGCACCATCAAATCACCCACTGAGTGTCAATTGGTCTGAAAAGCAAGGTCTAGCACAATATACCCAATACGCCTGGCAGCATGGGAAAAGGTATTTTTTCCCCCATTGATAGATCACAGAAGGAAAATCTCATTTCAGCTTTGTAGCCTGGACAAATAGATTTAGTTGTTGTCATCTTGTATACTCCAATTGATTGCATTGATTGGTTGGATTGCCAGATTGTTTGGATTGACTAGTTGTTTGGATTGACTTATTGGTTGGTTTAATTAATTTGATTCATAGACCGTCCTCATTTAATTAATTGGATTCATAGACTTCACCGCCATGTTAAACTGTCCACTAGTTATGAAAACTTCATATTCAGATCACATGCGCTCGTCGTAGCACGGATCCCAGTGCCATATATACCAGAATCTTCACAAAGTACAAATTTACTGTATGAATGTTTTCTAATTGTCATTTTGTCAGGAAATAGTTCATGTGGTCTGCTGTTTGAGGTTTATTATTGCCAATGGGTTTTTTAAATATGTGTTATGTGAATATGAACAGTCATCTTTTACATTCTTGTCTAGCCATCTCCTCCACTATCCAAAGATAAGACTGAACATTGAGGTCACTGGATGCCTCATAAATTGTTGGTGTTTGCTGGGTTTGAGCATGAGACTTGTCAAATTAATAAGTAAAGTAGTAAGTTTAAAAACCCTTTTTGTACTAGTGACACATTGGGCCCATAGTGCTAAATGTATATTTTTATAGATATGTCGGCATTCAATAGATGATTTGGTTATCATCACACGCCGGTCACGTTTACTTCCTATTTTTTGGTACCCATTTTAGGCTGGGTCTGCCTGAGGGCCAAGGTTACTTTGAAAATATCCACCTCGATGTGAATTTGAAGGTCAGGTTCAAGATACTTATATCTCAACCCTCTCTTATTACCTATTAAGTATGTATAATTATTTACCTAAATAATATCATATAGAACCAGCAATGTTGTATGCACGTGAAATATGAGCAGTGAGCAGTTTTAGAAAGAAAAAAAAAACAAGTGGAAATGTGAATTCTGAGGAAAACTTTAATGTCATGAACTGACAAAAACAAATGGGATGAAATGGGATGCTCCTTCAAGAAAGAGATAACACTGTAAACTTATCTGAGAAATAACATGTAGACAGTCACAATTTCTGGACATGTTATGAGGATAAAAAAACCTTAAATTGATTTCTGTCACAGGCATGAGGTAAAGTTAAGTCCAGCGTGATGTGTATAAGGAGTTTCTCAGTACGTCATTCGGGTGCCAGTCCTGCTCTGTTCTGGTTTTACGGAACCTCACGCAAGACTCCTACAGCGCGTCCTCATTGTGCGCCACGGATAATGCCTCAAATGAGCATTAAAACACAGCTGTCAGGGGATCTCGTAGTTGGTGGCTCCCAGAGGTGTAGTGTCCTTGTGGGTGAAAAAGCTTATCAAAGCTCATTAGGAACATGAGTAAAGTGCTTGCCAAATGTTCAACTAAAATGACAACCTTCGGTTTAAAGTTTGTGGGGTGAAGAGAACATTCTGTTGCTGAGACTCAACCCTTGACCTAGAGATTTACCCGCAGCACAGACGAGTAACATCTCCTGCGGGTGGCGTCTCGCAGCATGATTCTACCCATGTACATCCTCTGTCAACCCTCATTGTCATCGCCAACGCGCTAAGATACACCAAGACACCAACCATCCATTGGCTGATTAAGCCCAAATTTCTGACAAAAATAGATCCTACGACACACGAGCAAGCTCAAAATCCGACCATCATAAATCGTATTGACTGGGAAAAAGTCCAAAGTCCTTGGATGGCGGGGAATGCCCATAATCTGCCCCTGCCTTCCCTTGAGGGCCAACCGTTCCACACAGGGCTGCCCCAAAGGGGGTACTCTTGGGGCAACACCTGTGGAAAAAGGGACAAAGAGGACACCACACAAAGAAGGTAACATCTCGACCCACACAAAACAATGGCCACAGTCATCCTAGAAATAGGCCTGATGTCTTCCCTCGAAGTCGAAGTACATCTGCCCGTGAGGCAGGGAACAGCAAAAGCCAGTAAAATGGTTGTACACGCAAAACTCAGGTTCAGGCAAAAGCCAAAAGTTCAAACGGACGATTAACCGGAACGTTCCGCCGGAATTCACAGCCGGTGAACGAAGAAGAAGAAGAAGAAGAAGTGACAACCAGCAAACATGCCAGAAAAAGACCAGGGGAAAAGAAAGAGATGCATTTGTGGATGAAATTTCGTAGTTTTGATAAGAACACATCTGATTTGGGATTCTTGTGATTGTGGAAGTGAAACCTTTGGACATGTTATGATGACTAACAAACTTGAAAACTAGTGGCAGCTTGACAGAAGCAGGCAAGGGGAAGACTGGTATACATGCGTAGAGGCCTTGGCTACATGTCTTGAGTGTTATAAAAACATTGACCTGATTTATGATTGTGGTGATCTTGTGAGATGTGTGACCTCAGCTGCCTGTGTTTGTTGTCATGGCATATAATGAAAATAAATAATTTACATTTGGTGCTTCTTATGTTAGATCCTTTCAGCCCAGCTTTGTCAAACTACTTAGTTCTCTGAATGGAAAGAATATTACTCACAGAGTTGGATTAGATTGATCCTTTCATATGTTGTGATGTGAATCATCTGCAGCTGTGATTCAGATAGCAGAAAATAAAATTAGCAGAGGAATTATCAGTGGTCACCATAGAAACAGCTTTTCTATCAGATGTTTTGCCAACATTGATAGGATCAATATTTCCTTCAAAGTCTGAGTGCTTCTGCCTGAGAGGTGAGGAACCAGCGGTCTGCCCACAAGGAAGCCAAATCAGTAAAAAATGGGTATGCATTCAACAGTCAAGTCCTGGAACATGACCAGAGTCCAGGTGTGGCCGAACAGCCAAGACTTTCCACCAAAGCTGACAACCGGTAAACACAACAGAAGAGTCATTCACATGAGATGAATGCTTGTATGTTGCTGCAGACAAAGCTTGGATACAAAATTCTACCAGTCATAAATGTTTCTTCAAATAAGAGTTTTTTTAATTTCCTTTTTCTGTGTTCGCCCTTAATAGGGTGGTTGGCTCATTATGTTGTCTGTTTACAGCTAGGCCACAATATGTGCACTTATCAGCCCAATACCCATTGGCAAAGAATCTATTCTTTTTCTCACAAATTCGGACCCCAGATAGCACTTGGGGATCAGAGTTTGACATAAGATCGTTGACGGACGAAGCTCCATTGGGGAGACATAAGGCAGTATAACACAAAAGAACAACAGGCCAAATGTAAAGCATTTTTCATCATTTCATTCTCATCATCTTCTAGGCATAGTTGAGCAGAAATCCAGTGAGGGCGTCCGTCAAGGTCAGCTATAACTCTATTCTAATGTCTCCATAGTTTTTTTTTTTTAAAATGTGCTTTTAAAATGTCACAGTTTCTGCTTTTGTTTTCCTTATCTGAGATCCATGCATGTTCCTTGTTTCCAATTTTTTTGGGTTTGGATTTGTGCAGTTGTTGTAAATTGAGTTATGTCATATGATTTAGATATTCACTTTTATGTAGTTTAAGTGCTGACATGTTGTATGACAAGCATGATGTGGTCGAGGCCCTTTGTGGAACAGTGTGGGAGCGTGAATAGATCAGTGCAGTCTGAAGATGATGGTATTGTAGAGAGTGTTTAGGGGATATATACAAATATATATATATATATATATATATATATATATATATATATATATATATATATATATATATATATATATATATGTACTTTCCACTTTTTTTTAAATTTCTCAGCACTCCTTCTAGTTTCCTCTTTCAGATTTTTATTTCAGTGGAGCTTGTTTTATTGTGTTGTTTATTCACCACATGGATTACTTTTCTTTGTGGTTGTGTTATTTCCATTTTGTAACTAGGTATTCTTATTGTTTTATTCATTAATAAAAACTGATAGAAAAGTTTCCTTGTAACATTGTACATCTGTTCTTTTGTATTCTTTCATTCTTTGATGTGTTACCGCCGTACCCATGTGGGATGTAATTTTTAATTATATTCAAGCTGCACCCTGGCTTTTGTCGACGGCCTAAATATAGCCGGACCAAAAATATGGCCTAACGGCTGAACAGGGTTTATGGGACCTCTCCATGGGTGATTCTTATCCATATAGTGGCACTTTGTGTCACCATGTGTTTATCGCTTGTATGATGTCCTGGTGGGATACAACTTACCTAACTACCTTTCATTCTTTGAAGATTATGAATAATATGTGTAGTAAAATTTATTTTGAGTTTAATGGTATAAAGTCGAGAGCATCAAATTAATTGCGCCAGGTTTTATCCCTTATGGCTCAGCTCTCTCTCAGTAGAATAGCTAGCCACCTGGTGGGATCATTGCATAAAGCATGAACCCTAAACTCCAGCAGTAGTCTCCAGGGAATTCCATAAAAATGTTGACTTGTAAACTGAATAAAACAGTCCATAATATGAAGGCATGAACATCAGAGTGCAGGGTAAATGGCTTTACAACCTCTTTGTGTTAGCAGCGTTGTTTTTACATTTGAATATTTGTGAGTTCTCTTTATTATTATTTTGTGTGTGTGTGTGTGTGTGGTTAATTCACCAGTCTTAGTTTTTAAATGTGTAGATTTTTTCTTACGTTTAAAAAAAAAAAGGAAGAAGAAGGAAAACAAAAATTGTACCATGACTCCTAAGTGAATGCATTTCCAAAGGCTAATTTTTAGTTAGACGAGCTCCTTACATATAAATTAATTTACATTTGTGATTATGACTACTGGATTTAGTAAATCTGTTAATACTCTGGAGTTTCTTAAAGTAAGCAGTAAATCTGTTGAAATTCTAGATTTCACTAAAGGATGCAGTAAATCTTGCTGATATTCTGGAGTTTTACTAAAGTATGCAGTGGATATGTTGTTACTCCAGAGTTTACTGAAGTATTTAATAGATCTGTTGATATTCTGGAGTTGACTAAAGTATGTAGTAGATCTGTTGATACTCTGGAGTTTACTGAAGTATGTATGTTGATATTCTGGAGTTGACTAAAGTATGTAGTAGATCTGAAGGATACTCTGGAGTTTACTGAAGTATTCAGAAGATCTGTTGATATTCTGTAGTTGACCTAAGTATGCAGTAGATAGTAGATCTGTAGGATACTCTTGAGTTTACTAAAGTATGAGAGGAAATCAGTAAGTCACAAATGGTTATAGGATGGCAGGTAAATGTAGATGGTGGTTTCTAGAGGTGTCATTAGGTGACAGCAACATCGAACTTTGTTTCCATTTGCTAGGTGCAGTAGGTATTGCATGCACAATCACAACACAGAAACTAAATGGCAACTGTACATACAGAGTGTACCCTCAAAGAGCAACGTGCCGTTGTGCTTTTTTGTGTGGCCAAAACAGCTGCCTGCAAAGGACATTCATAAGGAAATGTTTCCTGATTATGCTGACATATATTTATCCCGTAAATAATTGCATAGCTGGGTAAAAAAAATGTTTCACAAGGGTGCTGTAAGGGTCCTGTTGAGATTGCAACAGACGCATCCATGCAGTAGATAGAGGAGATGATTAGAGGTCATAGGCGAGTAACGGCTGACTCTGTAGCAGCTGCAGTAGGGTGCTCACTGGTTCAGCATACAACATAATGCATGATCGATGGAAATTTTTGGTCCACTGAAAACCCACCCTGGTGGGAGACATTTGGTAAATGCTGCAGAAGTTGAATGTAAAGGGAAAATTATGTTTAGAAAACATAACACACTTCTATGCGTCAGGTTTGGGTGGGCTGAAAAACTGTGGATCAAGTGCATAAATTTTGGGGAAAATTATGTTGCAAAATAAAGGGTCAGTGTAAGTGTACAAATAAATGGTTTTCAAGTTGTTACATCTTTTGTGTGTGTGTGTGTGTGTTTTTTTTTTTTTTAACAGCTTTTATGACTTACTTATTGGCTTTTCCTCATATAAAGTAGATCTGTAGGATACTCTGGAGTTTACTAAAGTAAATACTTTTGATTATGTTTTACTGAATTATGTTACATACGTTACCTTAAAAATGGTCTATATTTTGAATCCTTATGTTTGTGGTGCACCTAAAATCTGACTTCTGTGCAAATATGATTTGCTTTTATCACTTTTTAAGTCAGTGTCTATCAACCTTTTTTTAAACTGTGACCCCAGTTTATTTCAGCTTAAAATCCCTTCTGTAATAGCCAAGTATCTCCTGATTTTCAATTTTCCATGTACGAGTAGCATGTGACCCAATCACGACAGCATTTGCATTTACAAACAAATGCCAGCCTTGAATTTTTCATCATCATTTCACATGTCATTTCATGTTACTTTTTGTGACATATCGACCTAGCCTGCATTGGGTACCAGGTACCGTCCTGGGAAGTTAAAGTGGCCGGTGTGACGTTAATTTCATCAACTACCAAGTGCCCATTTATAAAATTCAATTCTAGCCTTTATCTGCCCAGTAAACCTGATGCGTAGAAGAGGGCCCTTTAATTTGTGACATATATTGTTACTATAACGATACAACCTACAAGGAAGATAACCGTCCACCTCACCTCACTTGTTGTGACCTAGAATATGTGAAGGCCTAACATTTCATTAAGAGTCGCCGTGGCTAGATGTTTGTTTGCTGGTTAAAATGCCTTAGGTTTTAATTCGCAGGTGTATTTTATATGAATGACATAATTCTCTCAGATGTACCCAGCCTAATTGGGTACCAGGAAGTTTTGGGAAGAAAAGGTGGATGGCAGGATCTTACCACATCATCCACCAGGTGCCTCTTCTTCCAAGACTCATGTCTTTTAGGATTGTGGTACTTTCAGTTTCAGACACATGGTGGTAGTAGTCCTGAAAGAAGGATATCAGATAATAAAAACAACAGATTTGCTTGTGGACATATCTTTTGCGTAATAATCAAGCAGATTTTGATATTCACGGTCTCTTGAAAGACGAGATTTAAAAAAAAGCTGTCACTACTGTCTGTTTTACCACTTTTAAAGTGGTCTAGACAGGGGGGCCTTGAGCCTGAGGATTTAGGGCCGTCTGGCTAGTGCTGTTGGCCACAGACTGTGCAGATTAGTATGTTTAATTTTGCCTGTGACAGAAAAACTCCATCACCTTACCAGGGGTCGAACTTGGGTCTTTTGCATGATAGCCCAATGTTGTAACCGCTTGGCAGACAAGATTAACTGTTTATATCCCACTGCACTCTGCCATTGCTCAATAGTTACATAGGTTAACCTGCTGGAAGTAGTAGTTTTAGTTCCTTTAAGTTGTCAAGAGTGGCTTTATGTTTATTTATCTCTTTGCAGGTCTCATAGAAACAATGAGACAGACAAACTCTGCAAGTTGGTCTCAGAATCCAGACCAGTTTGGGGACTTGGCATCTTCTCTGAACAACTACTTCAATCAGGCAGCATTGTCACAGAGTCATAGAGGCGGTAGTGGTAAGGTTGAAATTATGCTAAAACGGTTAAGGACAGTGCTATAAGTTACTTCTCTTGCCACTTATGACTATTTACTTCTGTTACCACTGATGACCATATTTAGGTTTGGCTGTTCCTGTTAATACATAAGTGAAAAGCTGAGTAAACAGTGTTTTGTTTCCTACAACAATTTTAATATCTTTTTTTTCCTCCTGTGATATCTTTTTCTGCTGCTCTTCATCCTCTTCTCTTAAGATAGGAAGACAGTATGATTTTATTGAAGGTAAAGGTATAAACAACATTCTGTGCCAGTTCTTAACCTTTTGAAAATCAATATTTTCACCTTTTACTAATGCATCACTATCAGTCTGCACTTATTACTTCAGTTTTGAAAAAACTTCCTATTACTGCCTTTATTACCACTTTTGGGGTTTAAGCCTGAGGATTTACGGCCGCATGGCTAGTGCTGTCACCATGACTGTGCAGGTGACAATTTTATTTTGCTCCAGACAGAACAAATCCCCAGCCTTACCGAGGATTCAAACCTGGGTCTCCAACTTGAGATCCCAAAGTTCCAACCGTTCGGCCAGTCTTTCCTCCTTCAGTGTTAAATAATAGCAAATTTTTTTCAGGTTTTTTCTTTTATTCTAAGTTTAAAAATTATGACTTTGAATGATGCATTTAAGTACTTAGGTGGCCTTGATAACAGAAGATAAAGGATGTGTTAGAGAAGTTAATTTACAAACTATATGTTTCAATAATGCAATTAAATACATTAGTAACCCAATAACAGGAGATAGAAGATGCATTAAAGAAGCTAATTTACAAATTGTGACTTTCAGTGGATTCAAGTTCTTAGGTACTGTGATAACAGCATTAGAGTTGCTTGTTCAGATGTGTTAACTGATTCATTGCCGAACAAATCACCGTATGTCTTGGAATTTTAGCTGTCATGACGTTCTTTTAAGATATTCTTTTCTTGTCTCTCCTCCGAGTGATGGATCTGAATGATCTAAGTCAAAAACCAACCCATACAGGGCCTCATTAGTTGCTTTTGTTTTGAGTTGCACCCATAACCCTCCAATTGTTTGAGGGTTAGGGCTAGCGTAGATAGAGTTAGGGCTAAGGCTAACCTTAATTAGTTAATATATTTATATATATAAGTCATCAGGTCTAACATTTACACCTGCCAGTTTATCAACCGGTAGAACATTTTTGCTAATCTGTGTCGGTGCTGATGGTCTGCCTGCCAAATTTGCTGGAAATACATCCTAATTTTACACACCATTGAGGCCTTGTATGGGTTGGATTTTTTACCTAGATCATTCAGACCCATCATTCAGAGAAAAGCCCTTTTCTTAACTTCTTGTAGTCAATTCACTTATTACACTGACCCACTCTGTCCCAATTCTTACTTTAACCCCTTCTGTTGCTTTTTGTTAATTTTGTTAACTAAAAAATCTCAAACAGTTATTAACTTAAAGTGAAAACTTCTTAGAATATAACAGGTTAAATAAATACCTGCTTAGTATTGAAAGTATCAGAGAAGTTAATTTGGAAGTCCTGTACTTTAATGATGCTGTACTCTACATACAGAAATATAAATCTCCAGAACCATATAACATCACAGATGAAGAAATGTTGGTGAACTGGGTATAGAAGTGTTGACAAAATTGTTGAATGATGTCCGAAACAGCTGTATGACCTTTTAAAATCTCTTCTCATACCTTTGTGAATATGGGGCTGTGGGTTGTAGAGAACATTGGACAGCTTAATGACAGAATATTACAAAAATTATAATGAGAAGAATTAGATGTAAATTTAAGCCTGAAATTGGAGGGAAACAGTATGCATTTATTGAAGGTAAAGACATAAACAACATCCTTTTTATCTTAAGAGCACTAAGAAAAAAATGATTGAAATGAACAGAGATCTGTATTTATGTTTTGTTGATTACAAAAGCAATTGATAAATTAAGAAATTGTTTAAATTTTGGAAACCTCAGATATTGATGGTAAAGATCTGAGAAAAATAAAAAATAAAAAACATATGCTGGCAATAAGAAGCAGCCATAAGGATGGGCAACGAAGTGAGAACTTTTCAAAACATTTAACAAAGTGTTAGATTAGAATGTATCCTGTCACCTGATTTATTGAGTTTGTTACCGAGTTTGTATGGCGGTGAAATAATAATTAGATCGATACCTGGTATGCCAGGAATATTTGTTGATGGGCTCATTGGGAACAGCCTGTGATATGCTGATGATGTAGTTTTCATCACTGAATATTTTACACAACTGAAGAAATAATGAACATAATTTTAACAGAAAGGCAAAACAAAGGTATTAGTCTGAACAGCAGACAAACTGAAGTAATGGTAATTACATAGAAAATAACCCTTTCCCCTCAGTGTGGATTCTGGTGTCCCTCTTTTTGTAGAAGGGGGGGTGGAGGGATAGTCCAACAGCCCCACTAATACACATGTCATAAAACTCAACTATTTAGGGATGTTTCCTCCTAAGTGCATCTGCCCGAGAGGCAAGGAAACAACAGTCTGCATACAAACAAACAATAAAACGGATGTGCTGACAAAACCAGAACTTTCAGATTTTACAGTGATGAACATGAAGAAAAAGAAATTCCCAGTGGCCAAGAATCGGTTGGGGGGGGGGGGATGTTTGCAAGTGATACTATGCATTTTCATTACCTGAGACCTATAATAAACTTGTATGAACAAATGTATTCCTAGATGGCTTTTTGGCAAGTTCGAACAACAGTATATCCCCTGCAGGAGAGTCAGTACAGGTAGGTTGCTGCATGTGTTTAGACATGTGTACAGTACGGGGGCCACGTTAGCGCAGTCGATAGAGACTCACTTTTTAATCCAGCTGCGACTCGCTGCAGCCCACGGCCGGTGTTCGAAATCGGGCGGTTCCCGAGGTTTACCTAGCCTCTAGAAAATGGGTACCAAAGTAAATGGAGGAACGTCGCTGTAGCTACGGAGTTGCGTGCGGACGACGACACAGGCGAACATTTTCTTATCAGCTGTCCGTACTGGAGCACTTATGGTTTATAACTGTGTGCAAAGACACCTAATCACATCTCCCGACTTTACCTTTACCTTTACCTTTATGTGTAGTTATAACTGGGAGCTGACATGGTGTAGTGGCCAGACGCTCGCCTGTGGATCTGAAGGTCATGGGTTCAGGTCCTGACGGAACCATAATTTGTTTTTAAAAAAAAGGCTTCGGCTCCCAGGTTGACCCAGCCTCAAATGGGTACCTGGTAAAATCCTGGGAAGTAAATGTGGTCGGCATGATGTTGACCACATCACCCACCAAGTGCTGATTAGTCTATAAAATATAGATCTAGCCCTATATGCCCTGTATGCCTAAAGGCATGGACTTTACTAACTATTTACTTACCATCATTACCAAAGCTGCACTCAGCAAGGTGAGCATGGCCACATTTTTTTCAATTCTGTGTAATTCAGTGAATCAGAGACTTTGACCAAGTAGCTTGATGCAGTAGGTTGTATGCTCCATATGAGTGCTGAGGTTCCATTTGGAGGTGGAGGAGGAGGGCGTAGTAGATAGACCCATTGATTCTTGACATCCATGTTGTAATGCTGATAAAAACGTGGGTGACTGAAGCCTAGTATCAAGAAATGATGCTGTGACCAGGACGTTTACCAAAGGTGGTGTAATCTTTCTGTCCTACCTTGTTTCTCAATCATCAAATGTCAAGCTTCGATGCCATCTTTGTGTAAGCTGAGATAAGAACCAACAACACAGAACTCTGGACATTCCAGATGTCTTACGTCCCCTTCTTCAATGGCCAGAGCAGAGTTCCAAATATGATAGTACCAGTAACAACCTAATTGGATGTTTGAATCTTTTGTTGTTCCTAAGAGTGTTGTGTGTCAGACAGATTCCCGGGTCCCCCCCCCCCCCCCCACACACACACACACACTGTTTTGTTTGTTCCTAAGAGTGTTGTTTGTCAGACAGATTCCCGGCCCCCCCCCCCCCCCCCCACACACACACACACACACACTGTTTTGTTGTTCCTAAGAGTGTTGTTTGTCAGACAGATTCTCGGCCCCCCCCCCCCCCCCCCACACACACTGTTTTGTTGTTCCTAAGAGTGTTGTCAGACTTCCCTGACACCCCCCCCCCCCCCCCACTCACACTATTTTGTTGTTTCTGAGAGTGTTGTGTATCAGACAGATTCCCCTGATTCCCCCCCCCCCCCCCCCCCCACACTCACACACACCACACTGTTTTGTTGTTCCTAAGAGTGTTGTTTGTCAGACTGATTCCCTGGTCTCTCCACCCCCCCCCCCCCCCCCCACTCACACTATTTTGTTGTTCCTGAGAGTGTTGTTTATCAGACTGATTCCCTGGTCACCCCCCCACACACACACACATACACACACACACACTATATTGTTGTTCCTGAGAGTGTCGTGTGTCAGAAAGATTCCCTGGTCATCCCCACAGACACACACTATTTTGTTGTTCCTGGGAGTGTTGTTTGTCAGATTTCCTGGTCACCCCCCCCCTGACTCACACACACACACACTTTTTTTGTTAATGGGAGTGTTGTTTGTCAGACATATTCCCTGGTCATCTGCCCCCACTCACACACACACACACTATTGTGTTCCTGAGAGTGTTGTGTGTCAGACACAGATTCCCTGGTCACTTGCCCCTGAATATATGGCAAGACCTCCGTGTTTTCCCCCTTCCTCCCAGTCACCCCATCTAAGCAAAATGTGATTAAAAAGAAGAGAAAAAAATAAAACCTAAAGCACTATAAACAAAAACTCTTATCCTATTAATTATAATTTTAACAGTAGATGTACAGACTGTAAACAAAAATGTCCCTGTTATTTTTTTTAAATTCATAATTAAACTGAAAAAACAAGTTAGTGTAACAGATTATTTATTACACATACAAATGCAATTGCAGAATTGCTTGATGCCTCTTTTGAAACTTTGCTTGAAACAAACACCAAAAGAAACAAACAAATTAGCAAATTGTATTTTCAGGGGTTAAAGAATTTGGCACACATGCCCACCTTGGAATAGACTGTGAACCCTGTGTGACATTAAAAACAGCCCAACAGAATAATGATGATGATAATTTTGATCACTGTTAAAATTAACTAACTAAGATGACACTATGATTAATCATCATCATCAACCACTTCTGTGGTTAAGTGTCGGGGAAAGAATAATTTGCGATGCATGCAGGCTGGTACCGTCTGTTGTCATATCGTAAAGTGTCTTTAATTCTGTTGATTCAAATTTTTCTTGGCTGTCCTCTTGCTCTTGTAGCTGATCTTCTGAGATGTAGTGCTTGTGATGGTGTTTCGTGTTGCTGCATTCTAATGAGTTGGCCAAACCACTTGATCTGCTGTTTCTCAATGAATCTAATACAATGTGTTGCTCCCGCTGTCTGTCTGATAGTGTCATTATTCACTCGTTCTTGAATGCTTAGGTTGACAGCTTTTCTTAGGCATCTCATCTTACAAGCGATGATTTTGCTTGCATGGGCTTTATATAATGTCCACATTTGGCAGTAATAGCTTAGTGTTGGTTATATTATATAATTATCTTGTTTAATGTAATGTTTCTTTTCTTTTGTGACTCACAGGGAGAGAACCAAGTCACAAACATTGTCTTCAATCCACACTTCCTTCATTCTGATGAACTTGATGATGACTTTGAATGGGATAAACTCCTCTGAACCAGACATTGTTACCATCAAACACTTACCATGCTTGTGGATATGTTAACTGTCTATGGGAGACACAAGTGTGATCCAGGCATTGCTTTGCTGTTAACTTCTTTGTACTGGGTCACTCATGAAGACCGGGGGAAGTACGTGTGTCCTAACTCTGCAACCTGAAAAGAATTTATGCTAAAGTATCATCAGTGGCTACCGAACATGGAGACGGAGCCTGTTTGGCAATATCCAGAGTGGAGGGATGTCAGCTCTTGATTCATTCATTCATTCTTTCAATCCAGATAATTATCTTCACTGAAAAACTCAGCAGGATATATTCTTCTGTTTAAGCTGCTGAATATTGATATGCTTGAGGATGACTTTGATTTGGAAGAAACAGGTGACACCGTCATTGTTTTCTGTGTAGACTTATTAACTGATGAAGACAGATCTAAATTGTAAGCTGTGATCAAGCATTTTCTTATACAGACTGAGCAGGATCACTCTTGTGGCTGAAACATCACCCAAACTCAGAACATTCTTCAGACTGATGTCTTAGGCAGACTGGGTAGGATCAGCCTTGTGACGTAAGCATCACCTGTGCTCGGCAATCCTGACATCTTACCCACACTGAGTAGGATTACTCTTGTGACAGAAATATCATCTGTGTTCAAAACTGATGTATTAGACTGAATATGATCAGCCTTATGATGTAAACATCACCAGTGCTCAGAACATCCTGATGTCTTACCCGTGCTGAGTAACATTAATATTATGACAGAAACATCATCTATGCATAGAGTATCTTGAAGGTGCTGTGTAGTGTCTTACAAACTCTGAGTGGATTAATCTTGGGACAGGAACATCACCCACAGTCAGACTGATGAACTTGCTGGTGCATGGGCAAGCTTCTCTTATCTTGAACATTCTATTTATTTAGCTAAAAACTGTGTGAGCTTAAAATGTTGATGACAGTTCAAGTTCACATAGACCTCTGTGATACATGAAAAGGGTTCATTTTATAAACATGATAAAGACTTCATGTGGTAAACATGATAAAGAATTCATGTGATAAACATGATAAAGACTTCGAGTGATAAACATGATAAAGACTTTGAGTGATAAACATGATAAAGACTTCATGTGATAAACATTATACAGACTTCATGTGAAAAACATGATAAAAGTCTTCAGGTTATAAACATGATAAAGACTTTATGTGATAAACATGATAAATTCTTCATGTGATAAACATGATAAAGACTTTATGTGGTAAAAATGATGAAGGCATGACATAAAGGTGACAGGTTTCATGTAATAAACAGTATAAAGGGTAATGTGATGCACTTGATAAAGACTTCATATCAAAAAGATAATTGCTTATTTGCGTACAACCTAACTGCTGTAGTGCGGTTCCTGACATATTGCCTCCCCGCTTGTTGCCTCAAATTTTAGCAACTTATCTCACTTGTGCAGACCAGGGTCTTTCTCCAGTTTGGATATAGGATGATAGTTAGCTGGGTTATCATCACTGCACTGTAAACATGTTCAAATGTGCTCAGATCATCCCCTCAGTATGAACCCTAGGGTCCGGTGGCTAATAGTAGCCATTCTTTGTTGATTAACAAGTCCTGATGTGCCTGGTTTGCACCTCATTTTTTGCGATGCCAATCTTAACTCCCAAGTCTGTCATTCTGGCAAGTGATGTGGATTCACTGCCCCGAAAATCCCCCACCCTTTCTGTTTCTCGGAGGTCAATAATGGTACATGATTATACATAGCTGAGCTGTCTGATTACAGAGCTAGATACTTGCTGTCATCCCTTCTTCTGTTAGTTTAAAACTGTTCTATAATACCAGGGCCAGAAGTTGGCAGTTTGCTGTCAGAGGTAATGAATGCACACACATAAGGGGTATTTTATCAATGTATGAAAGCTCATACTTAATCAATCCTCCAGATATGACAGAAATTTGGAAATTAAACTTTGCTGATCTTTGAGCAAACTAATACATATAGTGAAATTAATACTAAAGACAACAGTACTGATTTAGACAATCTGTTTGAAGTGGAGAAAAATAATAAAGGAAGAATAAATATAATAAATGGTTTGCACCCTAAGCATGATATAAATTTCATGTCAAATGTTTTATAAACAGAAATATGTATGTGACATGTGGAGTCACTTGCATGGCATGATGTGTTTCAGATCAGGAGCTTGTCATGAATTTTAGGACTAGGAGATGCATGTATGTGGGGTAATGAGCAAACTGATAGATTGGCAGCTCATTTTTTGTGGGGAGATATTTTATGAGAAGGTGAACATTGTGAAGGCTGTTTAGGAAAAAGCAGATAGTGCAGCATTAGAGTATCTGTAATGACCACACTGATTCTGCTAGGAGACAAAAGAGGCTCTGGATGACATTTGTCACACAAGGAGAAGAATAATAGGTGGACTTTTAATCAGGCTACTACTGTCACAATCTGCGTAGGTGGGTAATGAAAAGCCATACATATTGGCTGGATCTACACCACTGGGTGTACATGACATAGCAGATGTGGTCAAGGCCCTTTGGGAACAAGCTACGGAAAAAGTAGAGAAAGAAGATTATTATGGCCAGGAGAGAATGAGGCACCTGGGTGTAACCAGAGGGTCTGGCCCGGCTCACTACACTCAGAGTAAAGGCAAGACGGACATATAACCAGATTGTGACCGGTACCATCAGTATTGGAACTCTGTGCTGGCTGCTGAAGATGAGGACAGCATGCATGGAAATGCCACGAGTGCTATGGTGTAAATTCTTGACTCAACTCAATCAGTGTAGGAACTTTTCTGTGGTTGCTGGCATAGTCAATGAAATGCCTAGAGGAATGTGTGTCATTTGTTTGTCATTTCATTTAATTATTTATCAACCTCACACGCGGGGGTTGCTGTGGTGAGTTGGTCAAGTCACCTGACTCATGATGTGAAGGTCATAGGTTTGTTTCAGAGAGACTTTGTTGAGTTCATGAGTGCAGTTTTTTTCAGAGATCCCATTGTGTGATGCTTTCAGTTGGTGACTGGCTGTTCTGCAGAGAGAGACCAAGCCATGTGGTATAACCCGGTGCAGTAAAGTCGATCCTCTTGACTTTAAACTTAAATATAACTTCACTGAACCTTACAAGTGTTAACCCTTTCACCCCGGTAATGCTAAAATAGGTGGTAATGACACCATTGGAATTCCATGAACAAATCCTAAAATAAATAAAACATTTACTCAGGTCACTAAAAGATTTATTTAAAAAAAATGTATTTACCTAGTTTTTTTTTTTTCTTTGTTTAGGCAGGGGGTATATAAAGATATATGAAGGATATAATCAATAAACATGTAAAAGGTGATGCATTAAATGCAATACACTTCCAGGGCCTGAAAAATATATGTATCAGGTGATTCGTGCTGTGACCCTCTGACCTCTACCATTGAGGCTACTGGAAAATTTTATGTCAACTTGACATTAAACTTGGGTAAGTGGAAAAATCCTAAATGTTTGCGGCAGGTGTGAAAACAGCTAGTAGCATTAACTATGCTTTAAGTCAAAGGTCACTAGACAATCAAAAAGGGACATTTATGGGGAAGTGAACATGTCGGTTTTTTTGTAGCTTATGAAAGGGTTAAGTGCATTTTTTCTGCTTCACAACTATTTTTGCCATTTGAATTAATTTCTAATGGCTACATGCAAGTGTATATTTTCTCACTGGTAATTGTTTCCTAGTTATTTAAGTCTTATGTAATGTGTTGTTGACTTGTGAATGATGGGAAATTATTATTTTGCTAAATTTAATCTTGATTTCAAAATGTCAATTTTCCCAGATAAGTTTTTGCCTGAAAAAGCTTTTTTTCCCCTCACTGGAACAACACAATTTTTTTTCAAAGAATTTACAGTTTTATGTTTTTTTAACTAAATGAAAAGTGATTCAGTTATTTTTCATCTTTATTTATGGCCTACCAAATTCATTTTGCTTACTCAATAAATGTTAAAGTGGTTGTAATTTTCCACACCTGTATATCTTCTGTTGAGTTTCCTTCTTCAGTCATTTAAGAGACATTGGAAAAAAAAAATGCTGTTGATTTTTTCTTTCACATTATAACATGATTGGTCATCAGCGGTTTTTTTTTAAATGCCCAAATTGTTATAAATGGCTGCATTTATCTTTTTCTTCTTCTTCTTCTTTGTGTTCACCAGCTGTAAACTCTAGCGAAAAGTTCTGGTTGTTCATCCACTTTTGGACTGCAGTCATGTTCCAGAACCTGAGTGTTGCGTGTGCATCTGTTTTACAGATCTGACTCATTTGTTTGCAAACTGCTGGTTCCTTGCTTCTCAGGCAGACACACTCCGACTTTAAAGGAAGCTCCGAATTAGTCGACTCTTACGACATGCTTTTGGGTAGGCAGTGGGTCTGTTCTTGTTTTCAATATAGTAGGGCCCCAGAACTCACACAGGGGTTATCCTTTTCAAAGCAAATTCTGTAGTTACTACTACTGCAGCAACCCCAGCTATGACTACTACTTCTACTACTACTGCTGCTTCTTCAGCTCTGATACCTACTGCTGCTTCTTCAGCTCTGATACCTACTGCTGCTTCTTCAGCTCTGATACCTACTGCTGCTTCTTCAGCTCTGATACCTACTGCTGCTTCTTCAGCTCTGATACCTACTGCTGCTTCTTCAGCTCTGATACCTACTGCTGCTGTTTTTGCTCCTGGTCTAGCTCTGAATGTTGAATTAAAAATCGACATCACAGCACTCTGAACATAAGTGCTCCATCCCCATCTTCAGCAGCAAGCGAAGAGTTCCAGTTCTGATAGTACCAGTTACCGGCTGAATTGTATATCCGTCTCATCCTTCTCCTGAGTGTTGAGCATTGACCAGATCCCCTGGTAACTCCTTGCAGTGCCATTCTCCTTAGACCTTAATGATCTATCTGCGCCTCTGCACTAATTACTCACTCCCAAAGGGCCTGACAATATCTAACTTTTCATATATA